CCTTGTTATCTTGGATGCATAGGATTATGCGCTTTGGAAGAGAGAGGGAAACAAAAGTGCCCGCATGCATGAGTAAGCGTGCATGTGCACAAAACTGCACATGAGAATGTGTGTGTGTTTGGTTAAGCAGGAGAGAGATTTCTCCTGCATGCTGACTGAAAGATAAATTGAAAAAAAAAGGAGGCAGACAGAAAAACAAACTGTGAAAATTAAGAGAAAGGAATCCACTCAAGCAACCTCAATAACAAGATGATAAATTACAAAACAATAATAAAAATGCTTCTCATTAGAAAGGGAATCTTGCCTAAGGGTAAAGACCTGGTACAAATAGCTTTCTTTAAACTGTTAAATATGAAAGCCATAGAGTCATGGCAATATTTCCTTGACTTTTGTCCCAAACAGCGGAGCACCAATCACACAAATTTGACAGCAAAACTTCCCTTTCCAACTCTGGTTTAAGAAAATGATCTGCACGTTAACATTTGGTAGAGGTTTCAGTGTACGTAAAACATTCATTACCTTTGGCTTTCACATTCTTATACCTTTCCAAGACAAGCACTGCAGATTGGGGAAACTTCTGTCCATGTCTCATTTTCATTGATGGTAGAAGAAAATAATTTGGTGCTTTCTAACTATATAGGAATGGTCTTTGTAGACAATTACCTTTTACTGGCTTAATGGAATTGATCATCAAATGTCAAAAATCACATCCCAATGATAATAAATGATGGGCAATTAATGAGATACATTTGCCATTAAACCATTGAATCCATATTCCTTAAAACATGTGTTGATGCAGTAGAATTGTCAAGGCAGAACAATTTTAAAATTTAAGTGCCTTTTTAAAAAAAAAAAAATTTCTTTCTAGTCTACAACACAAAGATTCTGACTTGCCTGTTTTTTTTTTAAGTTTATCCAACTAAATAATTTTGAGCACATTTCAAGGTTTCCCTATTACTTGGGAACATTGCACTAACATCAGCCTAAAAACACTTTAAAAATCCAGCCTTACCTTATAGAAACGCCGCAATAAGTGGACACTTTCTTCCCTTGCCCCCTGTAGAAAAAAAATGAAAAACTGTAGAGCAGCAGAAATAAAAGGAACAATGAAGGAAAGCACAACCGGATTAATCAATGCAGAGAACATCCCACCCAAGCTGGATTACAACCAAGATGCAAATAAAAACAGGTATGGATCAAAACAAAATAATCTCTAGCCTTGTGTTCTTGCTGTGTTCTGGGCAGCTTATACCAATGTAAATATAGACATCTTGATTTGCTATAAGGTTGCAATCAGAGTGGTGGATTTGAGTCCCCACTTTAACTGTCAGAGGCGGTCAGAATAGCTAAGGGCTAAAAAGCCATGGAAATATTAACATATGCCCTTTTCCATTCGGACAATCAAGTGCATTTATTACTGCTTTTCACTTATTGACGAGTCGACTGAAGGAACAGATTCTCCAAGACAATATGCTTAAATGGATTAGTCCAACAGAGATACACAAAAACAGTTCATATAAAACTTTTCCTCCATCTCAATTTCATCTCTATTTGGTACAACCTCAATGGAAATGTTGAGACTTTTACAAGAATCAAATAATCAAGTTCACAAATCCATAAAACATGCCACTGGAATGTAGTCTCATATCAAGCCACTCTAGTATTTCCAATGAGCTTGAGCACTGAAGCTCAGCGTCAGTAAAAAGCAAACTGTGAGATGCTACCAGGCTGATGGTCCCATGTTGAATAGTTTGAGGACTTAAATCTGTGTATACAGCTATTTATATTGCTTACACTAGTGTACTTAAGCAATCTATATCAGCATCTGAAATGAATCTCCATAAATTAAGATTACTCTAGCAAACACTCCAGCAAATTGTCTTCGCCAAAAGCATTAAACAAAGTATGCCAAACCATCCCTGTACTCTGTTATGCCACTCAGTAGGATTCATGATCTTCCTGGTAACCAAAAGCTGCTGAAATCAAGCCTTGTCAAGCAACACAAGCCACAAGCAGATCAGTGAGTTGGAACCTACTCAGCCACCAAGGACACCTTACCCCCACAACCCTCACTGACATTTGAGCCTGCCCCAAATACACCTTCCAATCAATCAATGCCCAAAGAAACATTCTTACATGTCCAGATAGATAAGCTCACTAATGTTTCACCCACTCATATGCTAATTTATGATAACACAACATGAAGTTGGTTTGACTACACTACTCTGCAGCTTGAATTGATGGGTGGAGCATTGTGCATGCAGAGATAGGTGCAATATCCAGTCAGATGGAGGAGTAGGACCCTCCAGCTAGAGCTCCTCCGCTCTGCCTGTTCTTTTTCCTTTTCTCTATCCCCTGTCTCACCGCATCTCTCAGCCTCAGACACCCTGATGAGTTGCGGGAAATGCGGGAGACACGGTCGAGGGCATTCTCAACCTTGACCTGTCCGTCCTCCCTGGACTGACCGATCCCCTCCCTAACTCCCCACCTACACTCCCCTTTTCTGGCTCCACCCCTGCCTCTTTGACCTGTCTGTCTCCTCTCCACCTATCTTCTCCTCTATCCATCTTCTATCTGCCTCCCCCTCTCTCCCTATTTATTTCAGAACCCCCTTCTCCTCCCCTATTTCTGAAGAAGGGTCCAGACCCGAAACGTCAGCCTTCCTGCTCCTCTGATGCTGCTTGGCCTGCTGTGTTCATCCAGCTCTACGCTTTGTTATCTCAGATTCTCCAGCATCTGCAGTTCCTACTATCTCTGAAACAATTCAGTCTATTTTGGCTTGTCCCTTTCCCCTTCGAAGCGTTGTTTGAAGTTCCCTTTGCACTTTAAGATGTGACATACCATGGGTCTCTCTACAGACATCTTCATTTACACCTACAACCATTTTTCCTTTTATCAGCCCTCCATTGTGTTCATGACATTCCTGACGATGGTGGTGTCTGGAACTTGCTACTCAATTTGAGATAGCAACCCATTTAAAAAGGAACCTGAATCTGCATTAGAAATGCTGTAACAGATCAGTAGCTGGAAAGTGGGATTAGAGTGGTTTATTCAGCTAGCCCAGACACTGTTCAACAACCTGTTTCTGTGCCATAACTTCACTATGGTATTGGAAGAGCTGGCTATGATCGAAGATAATTTACCTGGTCTGGATTGCTTGCATCCCAGATTTCAAAGGGAAGAGGGAGGTGAAGATATAGGAAGAGCCTCAACTCCACTTTCATGTCTTTTCCCCCTTTGTTAGTCAAACCTGTATGAAGAGTGACTGGAGAGGCCTGCATCCAGAGTGCAGCATGTGAGTTATCATTCAGTGAAAGGGGAGGGGAATTGCTGCCTCCTTATCAAGCATCAACTGCCTGCATCAACTGGGAGGTCCCTCTTCCCCAGCTTTCTTTCTCCATGCCTCCCATATGACAAAAGGTGGAAAAAAAGGCAGCCAGCGCATGGGACCAACGCCATCTGAAAATTCCCCTCCAAGCCACACACCAAATTGACTTGGAAATGTGCTGCTGCACTTGCATTTTCTTTTCTGGGTCAAAATTTTCCTTAGCTAGTAGTACTGACAGCACATTCGCTGCAGTGATTGCAGCAGCTGTAGTTTTCAGGTCATCTCTCACTTCTCAAGGGGAACTGGGGATGGACAATATATCAGCAATGCTCACGGCATCAATTAATAAAAGAAAATTGCGTTGACTCTAGCAGTTGCAAAAAGAGTCAAGTCATCATTTAGAACAATGAATTCTCATTTCAATGGCTCTCGCCCCACAACTCTCACTGACACGGAATGTGACTGTTTTCACAAATAAACCTTTGTAGCAGCCCACAAAAGGTCAAAACCAAGTAAAACTGCATCGCGCAGTCACACCTACGAAATCCATAACTTCTGTCTGCATGCTCACTTCAGTAGTGATAAGAACATTGAGGTAAAATTTCCACCATGTTGCACTGTCTCCCAGCATGATTCACCCAAAATTCAAGAGAAACAAATTTCTAATGCAGGTCACACCCAGAACTAAACAAGCGTCCATAATTTTTTAGCACTAGTTCAAAAGACAACAGTGGAAGGTGGCCCTGTCTACAAAGGTGATCACGTCTCATTGTATTTATCACAATGGCAAGATGGAACTAAAATTAAGCATTTTTTAAAAAATATAGATTTAAGTATTAAGAGGCTTTGCTTAAAATATATTTGATATACAGTTAGTAAACTGATGAACCAAACATTTTATTGAGCCACTTACTAAAAAGTCAGTTTCAAATACCCAAAATTGGATGCTCACAGGTGGCGCATTTGATATGATTATTAATAATGCTTATATTTGTGGTAAATCTATTTTCATCTGTATTGTATTAATAAAACTGCACAAGACTGCTATCATTAAATACATGGAACCCACATAAATGGGCTATCCCAAAAAAGATTCTTGAAGTGACCAAAACAAAAGCTGCTTTGGTGGAGTGGGGGAGTCTTTTTTTTTAAAAAAATAACAGTCCACACAGAATAAATCCTATCTCTGGGATTTGATGCCTAAATGGTCTTATCCGAAGAGTAGTTTCTTAGCCTCTACAGATGCAGTGTGACAAACTCCTCCATTTTACTGAAAATAGTTACAGTATTTACAATAACCAGAGAGGATGTGATGAGTGGAGTACTATAGGAGTTCGTGCTGGGGAGTCAAGGCATCTTACGACTTATATCAATGACTTCTATGAAAGGAACAAAGGGACGTAGTAGCTAAATTTGTAGGCGACAAATACTGACATAGTGGGCAAAAATTCTGGCAGATGGAATAAACTGCAGGTAAATGTGAAGTTCTACATTTCAGCAGGGAAAATGAAAAAGCAGAGTACTACATAAAAGGACAATGACTGAGGAAATCCAGGCTGCGGAAGGATTTACGTATCCTACTGCATGAGTCACAAAGTTAGTATGCACGTAAACAGAAGGCCAATGGGATACTATCTTTTACTACGAGGAATTGAACATAAAAGTTGCAACATTATGCTTCAGTGATACAAGGCATTGGCAAGGCCACATCTTGAATACTCTAACTTTGGTCTCCATATTTAAGAAAGGTTGATAACACTTTGGAGGCAGTTCAGAAGTTCATGACATTGATATCTGGGAGGAGTATATTGTCTATGATGAATGGATGAAAAACTGGGCTAGTTTCTACTGTAATTTAGAAAAGAAAGAAGCTAGAGATAGTAGGAACTGCAGATGCTGGAGAATCCGAGACAACAAGGTGCAGGGCTGGATGAACACAGCAGGCCAAGCAGCATCATAGGAGCAGAGAGGCTGACGTTTCGGGCCTAGACCCTTCATCAGAAAAGAAAGAAGCTACTTGGTTAAAGCGCATAGGATCATGAATGCTATTGACAAGATAGACGTGGAAAGGATGTTTCCTGCTGTGGGAGCGTCCAGAACAGGGGCATCGTTTTCAAATTAAGGGTCACCATTTTAGGAGAGAGATGAGCACTGTTTTCACGGAGGGTTGAGATACTGTGGAACACACTGCCTCAAAGCAGTGGAAATGGTGCCCTTGAACAGTTTCAAGGCAGCGATAGCTTCCTGTTAAACAATGGATCTCATTGAATGATTTACTTCTCCCCCTAATTGTTATGTTCACATCATTTAAATATAAAGATGTCTGCAAATATGTCACAGTAGCAAATGGGGAAAATGGTGAAAAGGCAAGATTAATGGTTCTTCACTTAAATGTGCAAGAGTGTTCAGAACAAAACATACAAGTAGTAGGTGTTAATGGATGTGATCTTGTAGTCATTACAGCCATAGTTAGAAGGCCATCAAAGCTGGGAACAAAATATTGAGGGGTGATAGATTTTTTTGAAAGGTCAGGCAGGAATAGATGAGTAGTAAGATGGCACTTTAAGCATGAGATGGAAGAAGAAAGATAGTAAGAAATAACAACGGGTGGAATACACTGGTGGGGGTAGTATATAGGCCCCCCCATCATTAACTTATACTGTAGGACCGAGCAGAAAATTGGCAGTAAATTAATCATGGGTGACTTTGATTGTCATGTAGTTTGAGAAA